CCTCATAAATTTAAAGATGTCAGACAAATTAACTGTCAAAAAATTCTGCTGTTTACATCAAGGCAAAAATTTCACGACCTTTCTTACAAAATGCAAAATCCTGATAGAATATTTTTTACTTTGAAGTATCAAAAGCACAACGAAACACAAACTTCTGAGTTATATTCTTTGGTATAGAAAAAACCCATGAAAAAATCGCGACTCTCAATAGAAAAAAGCAAAAATGGATTATGAAAGACATACATTTCTAGAGATAGTGTGAATCGTAATTCACACTATCTCTAGAAATGTATGTCTATATCTATTGCATATATTCAAGAAACACTCCAAACACTCACAAAGAGATTTATAAAAATGCAGCACTTGTTTCGCCATACAAAAGATTCATCAGGTACGCTTTGTGAAAATCCCAGTAGATGAACAACTGGGTACGAGCTCAACACCCCATGTATTTTCTTATGGCGCTGAATTTTTTCCAATTTTCATGACATCCGATCGGAACCTTGTGAAACACCCAACTCGATGTAGGTGTATTACGGGGAGTGAGAAACGTGTGACGTAATCGATGCAGAGAAGAATAGAATGAGTATCGGAGGGATTCAAAGGCCGTAGCCCCCCTTGGGACTCCGCCTCACCTCTGAGCCCCCTTGTCAGGTAACAGTCACATGGTCATCAACATCGGAGGGAAATTCAATTAGAAAAGGGTATCGGTATGAGAATCGAACCCTCAATGAAGTTTGAAGGTGATTGACAATGTTTCATGATGAATTTCATTAGTTCGGACTTCCACTGTCTGTTATTATATAAGCATGAGGGGTTTAATAACATGGATCGACTTAACAAACATACATTTAATAAAGTCTCAAAATTGCCACAACTCCCAATGTATAACAGTGGCTACAAAGCGAACTTGATCAAGCAAAAGTTCACTGAAAACTATTCATTATATGGTTCAAGATTAGCTTGTAAAAATCAGTCTGGGACATACTGCAGTCTATTTTTTCAATGAAATAATTTTGATGCATTCATTTTATTATCAATGATCGTGAAAAGAAATAGCAAGGCTGTCAACTTTCTTTTTTGTTTCAAAGCCAGTATCCCAAATTAATTTCTTAGTGCTGTTGTTCGTATCAAGTTATAATCAGACCATTGATTATACTTTTTGAAATACAGAAACTTGTTTTGCTTTTTAAATTTTATTCAAGATTGTTACATGTTCTCCCAACCAAATAACCAAAGCAAATCCAAGATTGGGTTTTACTTAGTTGTTGTATAGGTATTCTATAACGTAAAAGAATGAATCAATCTGTTCTGTTTGTCTGTTCTGTTTAAAATCTGTTTTTCCGTTAATCAGCTGTCGCCCCCATATGAACGACAACTCTCAGAAGTTGAGAAACTTGTGCGAGCTAAGGACTAACGGGGTCTTACCTTTTAACGTGTGATTCCTAACACGAGGAAGCCTAACGTTCCGTTTGCCGACCTGGCAATATTGTTGACATGAGTTACAAAAAAAAATACTTCATTATACGTAACACCCAAGTTTTGAAAGATATGTAATAACAATTTACAGAAAAAATAGTTGCAACGTGAGCCACGGCATATCGCGGGCAAGAAATGGTCCTAACTTCTTGCTCTTGACATATTCTGAAACCGGGACTGCAAAGAAGCACACGCCGGAGCATTTTTTGCGAGGTGGGTAGACGGTTTTTGGCCTCTGGGTCCCCAAAACAACAAAAACATCAAAATCAGCAGATGCGATAATTCAGAATCCCAGTCGTTGTCAGAGGCCAGTTTTCAAAGATTTTATCTTGAGGAAGATTTGCCAGTTCAAGGAGACCTACTACAAAAACTGTAACCCTAGGCATACTGAACATGTTCATCCTCTCTCACGATTTTTTTCTTCTGCACTGGATTGATTCGCAATATTTCGTTTTTATGACTGTAATATCTCAGTGAAGATTTATTCAATTCGATCTAAATAAGTGTCTTTTGAATTAGCGTCTATTAATTCCGTCAGTTTAAAAGTTGTGTTCTTGAGATTCGATGAAGTCGACAAACGCTGCTTTGTCGTGTCCTGATTGGCGAAGTGCTTAAACGATGGTAGTCGGTTGGCGAGAGGTCTGGAGAATATGGTGGGTGAGTTGTTGATATACAATAAAAAGAAGTTTGGAGACAATATGGATCCCTGGGGAACACCAGCGTTGATGGTGAAAGTTTTCGAGAGATATCCATCGACGGCCACTTGCAGAAAACGTTCTTTCTGGAAGCTGGAGAGCCATACTCGATAGCATCGAAGTTTGGCCAGCAAACCCTCATGCCACACACGGTCAAAGGCCTTAGAAATATCAGGCGCAACAGCTCTTGATTCTCCATGTTTCTCGATTGCGTTATTCCAAATATGGATAACATACGATAGAAGGTCGCTATAGTTGATCTTTGTTTCTGAAAGCCATATTGATGATCGCTCAAGATGTTGAAGCCTTCCAAATATTTGAGGATATGGGTGTTTACGGCTTTCTCCATGATCTTTGATATCACTGATAGTAAAGCGACTGGTCTGTTGTTACTTGGAAGATTTTTTTGCCCTTTTTGGGAATAGGCTGAACGCGAGCAATCTTCCAATAAGAAGGATAACCCCCGTTCTTGTAAGACTGGTTGAAAAGTCAGCAAAATACTGGTGAGAGTTCATTTGCGCCCTTTTTAAGTGACAATGTATATAGTACAAAATTTTCCATCAATCAGTATACACAACGACACAGTAGAATCAATATTTATTGAAATAATGAGCTACAAAAACACATGACATTCAAATAAACAAAGCACTTGAAACAACCTAATATTGAACATATTTACTACTGTATCAATCTATGGCCATGCTAATATGATTCAACTTCGTGCACAAAAGGGAAAGCATGTGGAAAATTCCGAAAGAAAGGAAGAAGGAAAGTGTAGATCATGCACAAAAGTTTCTTCCAGATACAATCTAAAAAAAAATTTTGAGGCAACATGAACATTGAATTCAATGAATAACAACTTTTTTCGTGTAATTCAATGTTCATATGAAAGTATTTGTTTCGAAAGGATTTTCCACTTTGTATCTGAAAAAAACTAGCAGTATAATTAGCATGATGTACCCATCTTTGTAGAGGGTATTTATTAGTAGTTATTTTCTTTCTCGCTTTCTTCCCAGAAACGTCTAAAAACTAATTTTTTCTGAAAATATTTTCATAATACAAAAAGTTAAAAATTTCAGTGTATCGCTGAAGTCATTACTTAATTTTGTTAGTTTTCTCAATTTAGTGTGTTAATTCGATACCTTGGTATTTTTTTGGTTTTGTTAATATAGTTGAATTTGTTAATCGAATCGCAAACAAATTAGTATCGTTAGATTCGACAAAAAAGTCTTCTTTTGGAAAGTGCTTGTTAAAAAACTAAATTAATGAAACAATGCTTCAATGTACATACATAATGTTTTGTTGTTTTGTTTTAAAAAATCTTCAACCATTTTGTCCAAATTTTCATACTGGTTATTAACTATAGTGGCCCCGTAGATACGCCACTGGTTCAATCCATGCCAAGAATACAATGATAAATCGGCCTGGCCAAATTGTCTGCCTGTGCGAATTCGTTTATATAATATATATACAACCTGGTGCTTTCAGCGCACATTGACCGCTGCAACAAAGCAATAGCACGTGATCATTGAATGATCTGGACTTATTTTAATTTCGATACTTTCCATGAATATCTCACGGTCTACTTGGAACTACACCAAAGATCAACAATGTTCTATTTCCAGTACACACTTTACCGGTACATGATACAGTCGAATCAATGAAGTATTTTTCTCTAAAGCCCGATTTTAATGATTCTTTTCCCAGAATTATTTAGATTATTCAAACAATGTGTATGATATTCAAATAATTTTTTTTCATATATTGACATTAGATATTCATGTAATAACTGTGACATCCACGTTGAAGTTGTTTTTTAGAGAGAAATTATAGATATACAAATTACTTCAATCGATCATTTAAACAACTATTTAATGTGAAGAATGAAATTTAGATGCGAGGATCCAAAGCTGCATCCAATCTTTTTCTGTGTTTATTTGTTTGTGTAAGCATTAACTGAAAATCAAGTCTTGCATCGGTAAGTTGTCACAAATGAAAGTGAACTGATTATTTAGAACTTCGACACACCGCGCGGAACCCAGAGTTCCCAGAAAAATAATGCCTCCTGACGATTAGGGTTGGCAAACAGATAATCACCTAACCAATCAAAATGACGTAACCTTATGAACGTTTTAAAAATCATGTTTTGCTTTTTTTAAAATAGGTAAATGCGGATTAGCAGATGATAAAAATTTAAATTTCTTTTCCGTTAATGCCAATGAACCTTTGAATTTAGAAATAGTTTGGAAGATTACCACATTGTTTTTGTATAAATATAGATGGAAGTCCGAACTAATGAAATTCATCATGAAACATTGTCAATCACCTTCAAACAATTTTAAGTGATTGTTCTATTTTTTGAAAGACATGATTTCAAATAATTCATGACATGCACACTAGGTATAGCATAAATATATGCTCGTTTCAAAGTTTCCCATGAGTACAGTATGAAAAACTTGTTTCTGCATGAATAGCAGCGATATTGTTCAAGCTTTGTAAACAATTTTTTCCTGGTCAATTTGAAAGAAACAAAAAAATTAAATTGGAAAAACATCAAATCCAAGCTGTTCAGTAAGATTTCGGAAGATTGTCTGTTTTACATATTTATTGACGCAACTAATAGAAAATTCACGTAAATCTATCAGTACCTGAAAAAGTGATAAGCCAGACAGAAAAAGATGGTTAGATAAGTGGTATGTTTCTCTTCTTGAGAACAAAAGAGTGCCCGCTTTATTTCACGCCACTCCACAGAATATCACGTATCCACCACGTGCTACACCGCCATAGCCATATGATACTTGTAAACAAGCGCCCCGGTAAATAGGAGGGATCTGCCACTCCAACCGTTAGTATTTTCGTGATCATCTTTGTGAGTGATTCTCCTCGAAATCATAAAGAACTCTTTCTAGTTGCTTACTGAAAAAGTATCAAATATGTTAACAGAAGCTGTCCTAGGCGATTATCATGATGGGTATGTTCCTTTTGTAGTTTTGTCTAGGGTACAGTACCCTTTTTCTACGATTTCGCTACAGAAGAATTGAATAACACTTGATCAAATTTCGTGAATGTTGCGGAAACATTGTTGATATCTTCAACTTCGCAAGTGAAGCGATTAATTTGTAATTATAATTAACGGTCGATTTAACTTTTTATAAACATTGCCAAGGAAAAGTAAACAGTTTACGAGATTTGGGTTTCGAACTAAGCAGCTGACTGAATCTAACTCGTTTCTAATTACAATCTCAAATATTTTTTTCGGCACATGAACTTAGCATATATTTAAAAAAGGTGTCGGCTATATTTATAACTACTGAGTAAATATTTTGATTGGGAAATACCTTGTATAACTGGGAAGAGAATATAAGACTTTCTCTAAATATTAATTCAAGTGATTTCTTTCTTCGAAGGCGTACCTACCTACCTCAATGTTCAAATAATATCACTTGTTTATTTCATTCAGAACCTCAGCTTCTTTTTCTGTTTTGTTCCAGTAGGTGGTTCATTTATTTAATAGTTTTCAAATATTACTGGATTCTTTTTTTCGAAACTAACCACAATAGATAGTAGCATATCTAACTGAAATTTGCCATAAAGTAAACTCTTTCTTTAGGAAATGTCAATTTATTTAAAAGTCCGAAAAATATTTTTTTTTGACGGGTAGACATAATTCTAGGATGAGCCAAAAAAACTGTTATCGGATGTGTTGCGTACACTATTTTTTCGACAACCCTGTAGCCGAGAATCCTGTAGCACAACGAATAAATGAGACACATTCTTTTATTATATTCCTTTGTTGAACAAAATTTCAAACAATTTGATTCTTATTTGTATTAAATATTGAAATTCGAGCGATTGCTATTGTTGAAGGGATTCAATTTGTTTGAATTGCTTGGTATATTTGATTGCCTTTTGTTGAAGTCAGAACAAGGATGTGAACTTTCTGTTTCACATTGATTGTTTTCGTCCGATAATTTTTTATTGGTCTTGGCAATTTCAATTTTGTTTGTAAATGAATTGTCTATATATCCTTCAGCGACATTGGTAACTTCTAGCCACGTGTCTCTTCAAAGTTTATATTTTTGCACCAGGAAATAACGTGGCTGAAGTTCGACGAATGCTGTGGTCCGTGTAATTTTTAGGATTTGGTAAATAAAAAATTCTGCGGTTCTCAATCCGAGGTTCCTCAAACTGGATACCACCGACTCGTTGAACCGACCATTTTTCTTTTTTTGTAATTCACGAATAATTTGTTATGCGGAATATGGGATGGCTGTAAAGATAAATATTGCCTATACAACAGCAGATTTTCTTGCCCAATTACAACAGAAGCTCTGTCAATATGTGTTTTGAAATCTGATATTTTCACAAGCAGTACGTATTCCTTGTCGTTTATCAGATCAATTGACATTTTTGTTAGTTTTTCCCGTCTACACGCAACGGTTAACCCAAAAATTGTTGCTACATTTATATCCTGACATGGCACCGAAAGAAACAAAGTCTATTTGCAAGTCAATCCAATAGTATGCCAAACATGTGTAAGGGAATTAAACGTTTATTATTCAAGTAAAGACCCAATAATATATCAATATCATCTTACAGCTTTCACAAGTCCTATTCCATTGGCTGAAATAACTCATTTGACGGTTTCTAATAGCAACTATCAAATATTCACTTCGTAAATGAACATATCTTTAGAATAATTTTCCAAAAAATGAGAATATGTAAGGTCGACTTTTCAGTAAGTTATTTAATCATTCATCTTGTTGATTATATTTGATGTATATCATTATTGACATTATTAAGCAACAGGAAATATCCTTTACCGTTATATAGTTTAATATGCAATGTATAGACTACAATTATCAGAAATTTGCCGTTCAGCATCAAGGTTTTTGCATATTCCACTAAACAAGGAAAAATAAACATCTGTCAAGTGGTTTATAATTGCAATATTTGAATAAATTAACAGTGCACTGTCCTAAGTGATTAAATAATGGAACCATTGAAGCTAATAATATTAACAAAGAATAAAAAAGTTCAGAGCTGAACATATTTGATTTTGAAAGCAGGTCCAGCTCATTTATGATGTTAGTCCTAGGTTTATTTTTAAATGACTTATGTTATATTCATAAATAATAAAACTATTCTCTAGTAATATCTCTAATCAGTGGCGTCTCCTGTGGGCCAAAGGATATTTAAAAATTTGGTAATTTGCATGAGAATTGGAAATACAGCCACGAAAAGACCTATATAGGGTGGACGACGTCCATTACAAGATTCCATAACAGTGAAGATAAGACATACAAGATATACCTGACCTCCTCGCATATTGGTTTCAGTGCAGTCGTCTGTTGGCCAGAGATACATCTCTAATATGCTTGTCTTGAAGTTTTTTATGACATAAGACTGACCGATCTCGAGACCTTTACCGAATCCTGACAAACTTTCCTGGGTGTCAAAATGAAGATGACCCTAATCTGTATCCCCGAGACAGACTTGCTCTTAAGATTGCACACAGCTTTTGAAGTAGATGTCCAGTTTTATTTTGCAGCATTACTGTATAAATCCTGTCCTATCCTGGTGACTTATATGGTTAAAATGAGTCTAAACGAGTCTAAAACGAGCCTTTTGCTCGACTTAAATTCTAAATTTGCCCAAGACTGCCTTTTTTTAAATTATTTATTGAGATTTGAGGTCCCATTCCGTTCTATTCTACATTTCTTAGGGGCTTTTTTATATTCATTTTAAGACCTTTTGTATTCAATACATCTGATTTTCTTGGACGTTTCAGTGATCAAAACACAATATGATAAGATACTAACCTTGTTATCTCCAGAAGGAAATTAAAATTACAATTCATTACTCGAAGTAGCTAAATAAAAAAATGGGCATGGTCTTCTGCCTTCTCAGCGTACACTGTCAACCAATGAAAATAATATGTCGTCGCCTTTTGCTAACCAACATCTAAAACCAAACCACTAATTTGATATTTTTGTTTCAGACCAAACATGAATAAGCTATGCCGCCAAGTGTCCATCGAATCACCAGGTTCGGTGATCAAAGATTGTGTCTTCAACTTTGAAGTTCCAGTTCCGGATGTTCCAGCTAACGGCGCCAGAATTCGTGTAGTCTGCGCAGGAGCTTGCTACCGTATGCGCAATCGGTCTCCGTCGACTTCCAGTATATCGTCAGTGTCCAGTGTACAGTCCACAGAGGATTCTGGCTGCAGCCCTGCTCACCATGGAATGCGTGACGGAGCTCTGTTCCCAGGGTATGAAGTAGCTGGTGTTATCGACGAACTGGGATCGAACGTGACATCAGATGAGTTCACGATTGGAAAACGTGTGGTTCTGTACCCTTATGATGGAATCCCCCATGGATACGCTGAGTTCGTCGTAGTACCTGATTTGTCGTATCTTGTTGCTGTGCCTGATAATTTGCCATTAGGAGTTGCTGCTATGCTTCCCACTGGAGCTCTCTTGGCCAAAAACGCGGTTATCAACGCACATGACCATGTCGTCGAATTGTTGAAGGAACGAGCTGCCGATCATATTGTACGAATACTTATTGTTGGCACCGGAGGACTGGCCCTTTGGGCGCTCAGGATTGCTGAGCATCACTTCAAAACCCCAGAATACAAAAACAGGGTCAAAATCACTGTGGCTTCTTTGAAGGATGAAGGTCTCATGTTAGCTGCAGGAGAACTCAAAACGTAAGAATTTTTTTCTTAAGTTCTATCATACTATTAAAATGAGGCCAGTTGGATAGTTTTTTTCTCTAATGTGTGTTCCTTCCAATCCCTTCACTTTAATTGAAATACTTATACAGTCTAATATACAAACATGTAAGCATGACCTTTTACCGTAGTAATTACAAATAAATTACATGGTAGCAGGAAACATCTCGAACTCAACTTTTTCATTGAAGTAGATAACGTACATGATGCGCGATTTGTATTTGGTTATTGAAATCATTTAGTTGAAGTTTGATTATCTTCGTGAATTGTGATATTAATGGTATTAATTTTGTTCATTGCACAATCTAAGTAAGAGGCACTTACTACAAGCAGGGTATCATGTGTAAATTGTTAATGCATGAACTATTTTGAAATGCAGCAAGTACGATCTTCTTTTTAACAATAGATAATTTCCATCTGGAGTGAGTTTGAGGGCTATTTAATGTGAATATTTTCAGTGAAAAATCTGCTAAATTTGTCATATTAGTGATTTTTAGTGACATTTATGTTTTGGTCACACTATTTCTTCCTCTTTAACTGAAATCAGTATTTATTATGGAATGAATTTCTATATTATCAACTATACTCAATGCATTGTTACAGGGTCAACATAGTACAATGGAATGAAGATTTATATGAAAAACAATTAATAGAAAGAACCAAAGATGCCTGCAGCGGTTTAGTAGATATTGTTATTGACTTTGGTACCACATCGCGATCCTTGCATAGATCTCTCCAATGTCTGAATACGGTAAGTGAAATTGACAAATTATACAGTCTGCGGGAAGAAAATTAGTCGATTATCCCAATGGTATTAGTAAGAAAAAGCATTTTTTTTGTCAATATTGCGTTTTTTTCGGATTTAACCCAGAGAATAGCCATACTTTATTATTTTTAAGACAAAATGGAGACTAACTAAACATTCATGCAGTATTTATTTGGCAACTGTAATGAGTAGAAAAATATTTTCCTCTTGCTAGCCAAACAAGAGTACATTTCAAGAGTTGTATCAAAATTCAGTTGAGTGAAAACTTTATTTTGTTTCAGGGAGGTGTTGTTCTAGTAAGTGAAGAAGTTGCTGAACGTTTACTACCGAAATTCTCAAGGTTGATCCATGAGAGAAATCAAAAAATTGAAGCTGTTGCTCAGGGATCCATTGAACAACTAAGGCAGTTAGTGGAGTATGTAGCAGCAGGTTACATAAAACCCCCTCCGCACACAGAATTTGCAGCTGATGAAGCACCAACAGTTGTACAGAAGCTTTGCCAGTCAGAAATACCCGGGAGAGCCATATTACGTTTTCTTGATATTCAGTAATTGTTTGTTCAGACACTGTAGTGTTGATTGTAATTAAATTTTTTTGATATTCAGATGAGAGAAATAGGTAACTAAATTCCCTATGAAGTTTTTTTATTGAGCCACCAATATACCTGAAATTATTCTTCATCCCTGGAAAGGCTTTTGGAATTGAGTTGAAATAACAAAAAAATTAAACTCAAAACCTTCGCTTAATGAAGGAAACTGCTATACATTTAACATGACGGAAATAAATCTGTCAAAAAAAAGTTTTTTCCGTTAACCAGCTACCTATCGCACCCCTATGAACGACAACCCTCAGAGGTCGAAACTTGTGTGAGCTGACTAACGAGGTCTTACCTTTTAACGTGTAATTCCTAACAGTGGAACAAAATACTGTTTCCAATTACAAAACCCAAGCACTACAGGAAAATCCTTAAGGCGCTCTAAGAGCGGTGCCTGTGTGAAAGTAGCGATTCACGTTGAATTTGAATCGCTAGAGATTAAATTCATTTGGAAAAACGTTCTCACGAAGTTTATTCCACATAAACGCAATTCTCCAAATGAAAGAGTTCTTTAACAGTGACATTTGAGGTGTACTGAGTTTAACCTCAAAACAACGAGCAGCCACAGTCCGTCGCGTATTTCTGATATGATGCGAGTACATAAAATGCTTTCTCTTTATGATTCAGCAGTTCAGCACTACAACAGGCTACTCGAACGGTGATATCCTATTTAAAAAAAAGAGAAAACATTTATTAGTGATTCCATCTTTGTTTTCCAGGAAATCAACGTAAATTTTCTACTTTTTCTAATTGAAATCTTGTGTTTCCCATATAAATGAAAATAGAACACAGAACACAGAACGTTCTTTACACCACTTAAGGAACATCTCTATAATTATTGTTTCGTGTTTTTTTTTTGACATCTAAAGCCAGGGAAAATTCATGGACGAATCACTCAGGAAAAATGCAAAACACAGACACGTGTTTCTGGCTCATTTGCTGTCATCAGTACGGTATAGCCACCCGAGAATACCTATGTGGTAGGTATTCTTGGATAGCCACGTGCGAGGTTAGACAGAAACAACACACAAATGCACGGAATCATGCATTAACAGAAGCCAGCCGCACATTGTGGTTTCAGGTCAACTCGGGTTAGAGATATCACTAGTCACCACTAGGTAGCTTCAGCTGACATCCGAGTCCAGTATACGATATAAGGTTTGTTCTGGTTCTGCGAAATTCAGGTTCTAGAACGTCAGGATCATGCGCAGTTGATATAGAGCGTTCTGGTTTATTGAGGATAATTTCAGACTGATGAATCCTCTGTTCTGGTTTTGACTGCGAAATGATCCTAAACTGTTTTGAACCGTCCCGAATCGTTCTTGCTCTCGAGGCTGAACTGTTGAGAACTGTTCCCGTTGCTCATGCGCATTCATGTGGAAATTTGTTTGGGCTATTTGCTAAAATGTTTTTTTATTTGATTTGATTTGAATAATTGATGATTGAGGGTAGATAACATTTGAGCTGACTATAGGGATACGCTACATGACAAAATGGACATAATTTAATAGTATTATCTCGTCTTCATCTCTTCATATATACGATAGGTGACACAGTGGTCTACTCAAAAGCGTTCTGGTTTAAACAAGTGTCCGAAACTATTTCGGACTGTTTGAGATTTTTTGTTTGTACGCACCATGTCTTGCGCAGTTTCCAAACGTTTTGGGATGTTAGAACCAGAGCAAACCTATAGATGATAATTTAGCGAGTGGAACGGAAAATTCATGGACAAAGCTCCCAGAAAAAATGCCAACACTTGGCTCATTAGCCGTCATCGGTGCAGTATAGCCAAGTGCAAGGTTAGGCAACTCTTGGTTGCAGAAACAACGCAAATACACGGAGTCATCAACAGAAGCCAACTGTCAACACAACATGTTTTGTGTTCATTAGCACAGAACACTGTGATCTGTACTTATGATGCACTGTTTGGAACCTTTGGTGTAGTAATGGAGTTTTTTCCCAACACCAAATCGTTATTTTTAACACCTCGACACGTGTTTCGATCACCAAGTAATCATCTTCAAAAAGGAAGGAGTTTAATCTTCCTTTTGTTTGTTTGAATTTTTTCCATTCGTCGTATTTCATATGCCACGCTTCAAGTTCATCGGGTATTGTTTCAAATACTAGGTGTGTTAGGTTTCAAAAATCGCGAGCCGGCAAGCAGATGCATATTTGATACAACGTGCTCACAGAGTCAACGGAGCGGAATATATTTAACAAACGCTTTATTCTATCTAAATGACAAGTTGGGATTTGTGGTATTATGTCATCACACAAGCTTTATAGAAAACATTATTGTGCAGTGAGAATGTGTCATGATCTCTTTTCTGAAGATAGTGATGTGCTAACAAACAAGTGTGATTTTTTTTAATATGACTACTGATTATTGAAAAACCTTTCTGATCTTAACGTTGACCCAGAGCTAACCGACCACATTTTTTTCGACGCTCTCATAAATACCGAACACTGAACACAGAGCAGACATAACTGAGACGACAGATCTGAATTATCGAACGCTTACGGAGCGAAGCGACCTAATGAAGCGCTCAGATTTATGTTAAACGAACACACCTACTTTATATCTGACAGTTGGATGCATTTTCTTATTGGTGTTTTGGTAAATCGAATGATTATTTACTATTTGTGGTTATCCTAAAATGTTATAATTCGAAGATGTATTCCCTTCTGATTTTAATGACTTTTTTCCCCTCGATAATTTCCGTCAGCGTTGAAATTCCTTCTCTGCCTCACTGTCCAGATACGAAGGAATCTGGGTAAGTGTTGGGATTCCTTTACAGAATTGTATGCAGGGTTTCCTTTCAAATTTACAACTTTGATTTCAGTGTTGTGATAGTCAGTACATTAGATGGAAAACTATCGGCTCTCAATTCTACTGGTTCATTAGTTTGGCAATTAGAAACAGGACCAGGACCCTTACTGTTATCTAATATTCACAAACTTGAGGTAAACAGAAAACATTACTTGGAGTGGATCAATGCACCAGCCTTAAGTCATAGGAATTCATGTTTTCTGTTTGTTACTACTGATAACTTGAGACTCTTGCAAGTAGTTTTTATGAGTATACATATACAACAGAGTATATATGCTCCTGTACGATTTTTGTTGCTGGTGCATTAATCCATGAAACAGAGGAATTTGTCTTAATATAAAATATCTCATTTTAGCTAACAAATAATGGGGAATGGGTTAGAATAATTCCATCTTTGACAGGAACTCTGTATAAATTTGATGGTTCAACTATTGATCCCATACCAATAACTGCTGAAGAACTTCTCAAATCATCGTTTCGCTATTCGGATGATCTTGTTATAGCAGGTGAAAACTACACATTAGGTCATCTAGTGTTACTAGAATTATTATTATCTAGTCATAGAAACATTGCAAAGGAGTTCCATCCAATATGATAGATTGGATGAAATCTATTCCCGGATGTGAAACTAGGTGTACCACAGGGTTCAGTTTTTGGCCCTTCACTATGACCTTCCACAATATTCAAACAATTTTCATGTAACGAATTTGCCATGAAGCTGAAACTGGCAGCCAGAGCTAGCCGCTGGCCAGAGTAGAATCAGTCCATCTCACAAAAATTAGAGTTTTTACCGTAGCCTCAAAGCATCTGTGGCATTAGATTGAATTACCTATTATTTTTTCTAGCATTCGTAGTTTCTCAATAAGTATTTGTGAGCTATAAAAGTATGGAAGGCCAATTTTTTAAATTAATTATCTTGTGACCTTATACAATGGTGAAAGTTGATGGAATTTGCACTGAATGCAAATGGATTCATCAATTATAGAGCAGCCCATATCTATAGTTATCTGCAGAATTACAAAAAATAATCTGCACAATGTAAACGTTTGTGATAATTAAATATGTTGTTAAAATCATTGTATGCTGTTCATTCTGGGTATTTTATTTTGCAGTTGGTAGCATGTACTACTGCTTGCCCGAAGATCAGTAGTAGAACAATTATAATTTCACACAATATTATACAACAGAAATTTATACTTTGAATGGGCTTTTCCGTAAATAAATAAATAAATTTCTGAGTCACTATATATTATGTAAGCTTAATCCATGCTGAATAACTGTTATTAGTAGTGTTTTTTTTTTATAACATTTTTTGCTTTTTAGGGGGAATTGATGTAAGAACTTATGGAGTTGGTTTTAGATCTGGAACATTATACTATGAATGCACTTCTGTCAAATGTTCTAATAAAGATGACCAAAACGTGGATGATGTGCTATTGATTGAGAGAAGTACCCATACAATTAGAGCTGTGGAGCCAAGAACAGGAACTGAAAGGTATTGATTGTTAGAGTATCTGATTGAATACTAAGTTTATTGTTTTTCAACAATATTATACATTAAACACACTGTACATGTGTAACATTTTCTGAAATGAAGATTATTATTGGTAAATTTGAAAAAATCAACCTGCTACTCCGGAGACTGGGATAGCTAAAAATTGGCATCAAAATGAATTTTTTGTTTAAAAATCTTGAAATGCTGATGTTTGACATTGATTACTTTTGCAATATCTAGTTCTCCTGTATTTGCCCATTTTTTATATATGAAAAAGTCGTTTTTCAAACTACAAATATAGTTATTCAAAGTTTCTGTGAAATCAACTGAACAGTACCTTAATTTTTTTTCCCAACAAATCTGTTTGACGCTTTTTTTAAATTGACATAACTTGTTTTATCTATGAATCAAACACTAATTATAAAATGAAGTTTAGCACAGTAGAAAACATTGTTGGCAAGGTCGTGATTCTATATATTTTATCATCATTTTTCCTCATCTGTTCAGTATAATTTCCGTACGCTACTGTAAGAGACAGATTAAGGCAAAAACTTCAGTCATTCCTGAGAATTTACTGCCAACTATTTAGGAATTATGGTAAAGTGAAATCCACCCCCAAATCGGATGAATATAATACAATATTAGTTATAGGAAAACAGGTAATATAAATAGGAAAACAGCTAATTTATAAAATGTCGATATTTAAAAGGTTCATAAATTACACGTTTTCCTATAAGTAATATTGTATTGTTTTCTCAAAATCTACCTGTTGTACCAGAATCAATTCCCTATTTATGTTATTTTCTGTATGTAATGTGTCTAAGTCCATGTTGACATCATTAGTTTAAAACTTCTTTTATGGTTAGAGATTCTTGTTAAGAAATTTCATGAAGTTCTTCCTATATAAACTGTTGGGCGAGATCCACATGTTTGTTTGTAGACTCCTGATTTGTTATCTTTGTCCATGTTTGACTTGTTATTCTTCATTATTTTCCCAAGGAGTTATCAGTCTAAAATGCTATGTCAATGTTCTCTCTTGTTAGCAGTGTTAGTAGTAGTCAAATATTTATTATATGTATACTTGAAACTTTTGGTTTTAGGTGGAACTTTAGCGTAGGCCTTCACAATGTCAAGCTTCCAAAAGTTAGCTGCATCAACCCCAATATCCAGTTGTTCAACTGGAACGTAACCGCTGTTTTGCCTGAAGGAAAAATAAAAGCGTCCATCAGCCATAACGATCAAGTGCAGAGTTGGATCCACACATTTTCTGCTCCTATTGTAAGAGTATGGAGGTGGACTGGTAAAAATTTAGTAGAAATAAATCTCTTTGCTCCTAGAAATATGCCAAACATCATTATTGATGAGTCATTGTGCCCTTCTATTTATTTAGCCATGCATAATAAACAGGTGAGTTTATGAAAAAATAATGTCTTCAAATAATTTTACTCTCATTCATTCTCAGCTGTATGTTCATGAATCTGCATTCATGCAGAGGGCTATTCGCGGTAAAATAAGTTCTAATGTGGAAGTTTCTGAAAGTAGGAGTATTGCCAAAATACCTTGGAAACCAATTCCTGCTTCTGCAGAAAAACCGGAGGAAGATTCCACAGCTCTTTCTGTCTTGAATGGGTCAGAATATGTAAATGGTATGAGTTTTCCATTAGTAATTAACTAACTCGGATAATTTGATGTATTTTTAGGACAAGGATTTTACTTATTCTCAGAAAAAGATCAAAATGAAAAGGACACTGTCATTTGCCAATCAAATGATAGTTATGTTGAAACTCTGGTTGAAAAAAATGATGCAAGAGGACTATTTTACTTGTTTTGTTGGTATGGAAAGGAGATTTCGCTTATGGCCATTACCCTGATCATCTGCCACTTCTTATTTCGCATGTGGCATCAGCAACGATTGAACCCCGATCTTTTGTTGATACAACCAGTAGAACGACAGATTGTACCTGTATCAAATGTGCCTCAATCAAACATAGCTGAATTAAACATAGCCGAAAGAAGAATATCTGAGAGGGAAAATGATTCATTTTCATCGCGTTATTTGAATGATTTTGAAACTATCAGATGTCTTGGTAAAGGTGGTTTTGGGGTGGTTTTTGAAGTTAAACAAAAATATGATGAGCAGTCTTATGCAATCAAGAGGATAACATTACCTAATGAGTAAGTTGATTATTTTTGTGTGACAACTTTTTCAACTTGGCTTTTTAGGGGAAAATCTAGAGAACGAGTTATGCGAGAAGTTAAGGCCTTAGCAAAATTAGAGCACCAGAACATTGTCAGATATTTTTGTTCCTGGGTAGAAAATCCCCCCTCTGGATGGCAACATGAACATGATAAAATCTGGATGGGGTTAGCTATCAATCAATTTCCTGTTAACAAATTTAAATTATAAAATATCCAGAAGTATTCTAATTCAAAAATAATGTAACTTGATTTCTTCATTTTTAGAGAAACTTCTATGAACTCTGAGTCTTCAGTTTCAACATTTACTCATAAAGAGAAACGTAGCAAGTCGGTGTCAATAAGCATTGATGTTTCTCCAATAGAACATGACTCTGAACTGCCCTCCATTGTTCCTGAAATGGATGATGATGAAGATGAAGATGATTCCTATATAGTATTTGAAAATTCACCTGGACAGGAAATAACAGTTTCCGAAAGTGATAAAGATAATTCAGTTCCAACTGAGGATCCCACTAGTTCTACTCATTCAAAGAAAAAAATTAATTGGAGAAGACCTTCTCGTAGACATCACTCGTGGGATTTACGTTCGAAGAATAATTCTTTGGAACCGAAGGATCCTCCAGTTTTCTTGTACATCCAAATGCAGTTGTGCCAAAAGGACAGTTTGAAAGAATGGCTAAGAACCAATAGCTACCGAGATTATGATTTCGTTATAGATATTTTTTCACAGATATTAGAAGCTGTCCAATACGTTCACCTACAAGGGCTCATTCATCGGGATTTGAAAGTAAATATTTGATTCTTTCATAGTTATATTCAAAAAATTATTGAAACAATAAGTGTAAAACTCTTTATAGAAAATACATGATGTTATATTTATCTGTTAATAAATATTTTGGGCAGTATATTCAAATGCCACGGAATTGTTATTTCTGAAAATCATTCAAACTTCATATATTTTTTCAGCCAGGAAATATATTTTTCTCTTTAGAAGGTAAAATCAAAGTTGGAGATTTTGGCTTGGTAAAAGATATGGAAGATCCATTTGATTTGGATCAGATAAAGAAAGGATCATCACCACACCGCGGACATACTATTGACGTTGGTATGATTCATATTCAAAATTTAGTTGTGCATATTTTCAATATATTGATTTGCAGGCACCCATCTCTATATGAGTCCAGAGCAATTGGAGAGTCGTAGTTATAATTATAAAGTGGATATTTATTCTTTGGGGATTATTTTATTCGAGTTACTTGTTCCTTTTTCGACTGAAATGGAAAGAGGTAAAATGTTGTCCAATCTCAAGAAAAACAAGTTTCCTGAAGATTTTCAACAAAAGTTTCCTAATGAGGTAATTTAATTTTTATGATTTTCTTGAGGACCAGACTTTTCACTTATAAATAAGACTTTATCTATAAGATGCATTTATATTTTGACAAAGTATGAGGTCTGTTGAAAAAATAAGGTGACTGTTGAAATTTCATGGGTTACGTACATTGGATTAGCGATTTTTTAAATTTTCTTATATGTTGGTTAGTTTGGGTCAAAAGTGAGTGGGTTTATTCGTCCCTCCACCGCAACCCGCATAGTTTTATTGTGGCTCTATTCAAACTCTACCAAATAAACCCAGCTTCTTGACAAAGCCGATTAGTTTATATGTTGAGTGATCTTTCGGGTCAGATGGTAAGAGTACGACTCTGCCGAACTCTACGGACCTGATTCGGTCCGCAACAGGGCAGGCACAAAATATATGCTCTGCTGCTTCATCATTTTCCAAACTGAGGCGACACACACTGTCTTCCAACAGTCCGAGTTTCGGCATATGATCATTCAGACGACAGTGACCGTTTCAAGCTTCGAAGGTTGGATTTTTCCAATCTCTCCGCACAGAATTCAATAGCATAAATTTCCACTTGGAATATAGTCCTAGGCAGGTTGATATCTCTGTCTGTGACTTCCAGTGTCAATCAACAGTTTGTTACACTCTGCATTGAATTGATTTGTGCAATTGACAATGTGCACAAGTCTATATGCAATACATCTAGCCTCTCTCTCCAGAAAAATGTGGAGTGGAGGTAGTTCTAGAAGGATCTCCATGGCGGCTGACGGTGTGGTACTGATGACCCACATTCGTAATTATTTGGCCAGAAACAAAACCGTAATTATACCTCAGCCACTGTATTCACCAGTTTTGGCCCGCGCGACTTTTTCCTGTTCCCAAGATTGAAGAGACCCATGAAAGGGCGGGTTTTGCGAGTATTAAGGAGATGAAAACCGAATTGCTGAGAGGGTTGGAATTGGAAAAAAGCTGGTACAAGTGTATTATATCTGAAGGGGACTAGTTTGAAGGGGACAAAATAGAAATTGATGAATAAATATTAATGTTTTATGAGAAAAATGAAAAATCACTGTATTTTTTTAACATACCTCATATATTCGATTTATTCGAGAATATTTAATATCCCTAAATATGTGCTTCTGAATGAATTGATTTCACGAATTTGCCTACAAATTATATTCATTCCATCGGTAACATTTTTTCAGTATGACTTATTGCAAAATATGCTGTGCAAGGAGCCCAATAAGCGTTTAACCACCATTGGGATCATGTCAAGACCTCCATTCAACAGGCAGGATTCCGGATTCAGAGATGAATGCCATTACCAACTGACAAGTGTTCTGAAAAACTGATTTCATACTTATTTTTAAGTAACTCTCTTATTCATGTGAAAGCTTTATTTTATATTTAAGGACTTAACTTGTAAGAGGAACTCGAGTAGCTGTGATCTATAAGCAATGTACAGTGTTACAGTTGTTAGTTATTTCCATAATCTTACTTGTTTTTAGTTTTTTATAGACTGTTCAAATTTTATTGGAGTTGTAAGTGTCACTCGTATAGTATTTTCATGAACATTCCTAAATAGAATCGAAACATCAGTTTTTTGTTGGATAACTTTCAGTATAGTTTTACATTATATGTTTCTAGACTTTTCAGGGTAGTCAAATATTTTGATGGACTATTTATGGAAGTTTCAAAATGACTTTTCTTACCATTTCATGAACATTATTAGAATCGTCCATATTTTAGGTGAATTTCATTCACATTTATTAAGTTTATTTACTTCAAAAAACTGTATTCGTTCAATACCTGTATTGTGATTGAACTACTTTCTTTGCATATTTATTCCCATTTAGAATGATCTTTATTTTTTACTTTGCAAACTTTTGTTAGATGGCCAGTTTGTACATCAATGATTATGCATTTTATCGTTTTTTCATTATCTAACGATTTTTTGAGGTTTGCCAAGTTCTACCACATTATTTTTCCTACTAGTTTTGAATTTCAGGCTATATTAGTAATTGAATAAGTTTTAAGTGCAAAGAACTGAATCAATTTGTTGCATTTAATGCTCATTTATTTTCATAAATATTAATAAACGAATATTTTTCATAATGTTTTTTCATTTCCAAACATAAATCACCTTGCCTAGAAGTAGAAACTTGTGGGAGTCAAGAATTAACGAAGTCTTATCTTCTAGCACGGAAAAATCTGTAGTTTCTGTAAAATATTTATAATTATTGAAATAACAACTGGCTGTTATTTTCTGGGGTTTACCAACTGCTTATTGGCAGGGTATTTTGAGAACCTTATTTCAAATACTAATAAGGTTTATTGAAAATTGTGTCAGTGTTGTAAAAAGCAGGACCCACTGGATCAGGCATCAAATCGAATGCAGCTTAAAAAGAATTCTTGTGGACAGCTTCTTCAAGAGTAACAATTTTTTCATTTGGTTAAACATGAAGTTTGCATAAGTTGGAAGTTTTTGTTTTAAATGAACTAATATGAACTATATAATACGTATTCTAATGAATAAATACATGTATGAATATATCGATTTATAGATACTCTGATCTGTTACTTGAAAATAACATCCATGATAATAATTGTTCAATTTTCACAATAAATTTTATTCAAAACTCGTTTCACTACTTGGTAGCTTCATCAGTTGGACTGGTACATCAAAATGTTCTACAATGTCTTATAACATCAGGTAGTTACAAAACTTAATTTAGATACATGATTCTCGTAAAACAGGTAGATTTTGAAGATCCATTAGGATACAATATTATTTCTAGGAAAACAGGTACTTCAAAATCCGTGGCATTTTATAAAAACAAGTTTAACAATAGTATATATGTTTATATCAACAATGTCTATATCAATTGATTCAAAAGATCCAGTTAAATTCCACAATGAAAATATCAAATTCTCTCTATGATGTCTATTCGTGAAAGATATTACAGGTCAGCAATGATATTTATTTTTAAGATAACCAATCATATGCTACCTTCTTATTTCGAAGAATTTATCATTTATAGAAATTCCACTCACAATTACACTACTAGACAAAATGACAATTTTCACCTGCCACGATGTAGTTTATCAAACTCCATGAAAATTTTATTATATAAAGGCCTCATTGAATATAACAAACTTCCCCAAANTCCCTCATTGACCTAGTTCGTTGCATTTGCGGAACCACTATGAAATATAAAAAAAGTTGTGACCCTAGTTCAACAGCAACAGAAATCTACACTATAAGAAAAATAATTTCATTTGCGTTCATTGATTTTCATAAATTTGACTTTTGTCCTTTATTTTCTATATGTAATATGTCGTAGTCCATGTTGAAAGATGGCAAGCATATTTCATGATTTTCATGAAAAATTTTCAGTCCAGACAAAATATGCGAAAAACGGGGGTATTTTTCAATACTTCGCATAGCACTGAGAATTGTAACAGATCTAAAATACGCTGTTATAAATAAAATATCGAAAGGCCCCACCAAGGTCAAAAACATTGCTATTTGCATTTTCTTTTTAGGTTAGATGAAAGTTGCAGATTATGTAATTGCCTGAAAAAATTTTGTTGTACCTTTTTCTGATGTATCTTTTTCTACTTATTCAGCAATAAGAAGACATCAGAGACACATTTGAAGATTATGAATCAGATTCAAACTTTCCCGATGAAAAATTCATTTTAATAATAATAACTGTTATCATATTGTTTATTAAAATGTATTTTTCAAAAACCCATAATATTGATAAATAATTGTATATGAACCTAAATAACCTCAAAAGTTAAGTTATCTTTATAGAAGAGAATATAAACCTCTCCGCTCACAAGGAATTTTGGTGAAATTGAAGAAACACAAAACTCGTTATACTCATGCGATGTTACCGTGTAAATGTGTCTATCGTATGCTATATAATGCCCACTATAAGTAGAGCCGAAAACATCTCTCTTTACAGAGTCGCCATCTATAGGATCAACAGAAGACTCTATTCTCGATATTTCAAAGACAGTTGCGTCCATCAATGCATTTGTGGTTCAGCCTAGTACCATTGATGAGTTCATGGCAGGTCGAAACAGGGCTACCTAATGTTGGATCACGAATGCTTTCCCCACTTCAACACCCACCACCCTCTGAAAGTATAAATACGAGTGAACAATCGTTCGTTAGTGAGACTTCAAGATATAAATTTCGTACTCGCAGTAAACGCAGCACATAACCCTGATGATGTCTGCCGCAGTAGCAGACGAAACGTTTGGTACTTGAGTTTCTGTTCGACCACAACCAACTGGCTCGGATTTTGTTCTTTTCATTGTTCTTTCCAAAAGATATCCCGAGAAAGTCCTGTGCGTCTTGATGTGTATAATCCATAAATCGAGATGAAAATATTTGGATTTGGCGTTTTGAAGAAACGTGTTCACCGTTGTATCCGATGAATCTTTTGACCAAAGTTCCTTCATCACTTCTGTGAGAGCTTTGATCAGAACACCCTTCATACTAGAAACACTTGTATGGATATGAGGAAGGACATGAGGAATACTTAAAAAGGGTGCCATTTTGAAACGACATAAATGAACAATTTTCGTTGCGTGACCTACAACCTTCTTGTGATTTATTTTTATAACAAGACTTACTGTTGACGAGAAAAAAACAAAAAACTGATATGTATGAACTTTAATAATTTTTTAGCAGACTGAGGTTAGTCGAGGCTTTATCTACTCTGTTTGTAACAGTGTATTTGACACCTGTACCAATTTTCAGCTCTGTGTATTAATGTAAACTGAAATATTTGTTTCGACTGGACTAATACTGATATGTAAGATCAAATTTTTTGTAAAGATGTGGATGTCAAGATTACTGAGCAAGTAAAGATAAAAATAAAAAATTCGTAAACTAAGGTCACAACCGAGAAGTTCAGTAATGTAATTTTGACTATATTTATATATGTATAGATAAATTATATATTTCGTAGTGAAAATTTGCCTACATTTTGAAAAATACATAGGGTCACACAAATTCATATATTTTCAATTGTCTCTAAATGAAAATGTATTCACAGAGAATTCGGGTGGTGATTATTATTATAGTTTTTCTGGTCAAGTATAACTTCTTTGTCATGATAGTTTTTGGTAATAACATGTAATCAACGATTACAGTTAGTTATCGAATCAAAATTAGGATATCTGTTCATCTTTTTCTGGCATCATGTCGACCTTACAATGTTTTTATATAATTCAAGTCAGGAATATCAAGTTACTCAACAAATGTGATGTGCATTAAACAGAAGGCAATAACTGCAGTTCAAAAATTGATCAGATACAATTTGAAACAATGAACATACAGATACCCTAGAATCCCTAGATTAAAATAAAGGTGAGGTCAGTGACCATATATTGATTTCAATTAAAACAACTCAAACCCAATACTGATTTCTACGTAACATTATATTTTTAGAAGGACAAGTTGGAGGATCAGATGCATCTATGCTACTCCAATCATCAGGCTGTTCATCGACTCCATACGGATAGCACGCGTGGGACGTAGGAGAATCTAATTCACTCCTACTCAGAGGAGTAACTTTGCACTGGGGTAGTGTTGTTGATATAGGTGTTGAAAACCCATCGGTAAGTGAAGGTTTAAGCGAAGGAGACGAAGACATCAGCCTGTCAGGTGGACGGGGTAAAGGAATAGGTTGGATGCACTGCTCTTCCTTGTTCATTTGCGCATCCAAAGAACGGCACTTGACTACCACTATTACAGCGATCCCCAATACTACAACTCCAACCACCATACTCACTGAAAAAAAGAAAATGAGTTGGCAAATGAACATCACAGGCACTTATGAAGAACTTTAGTCACACTTTTGTTTATAAAATAATGTTTACGTAAACATCATTTTACCAGTTAAGTAGGAAGCGGATCGAGTAAGGTCGGCCGACTTCCGAACACGTAACAGTAATAGCCAGAGGATGACAAATGAGACTTTGTCGAAACGTCGCTAGATTGATGATATTAGCACATAACAAGGATCAAAAACCTGGAAACCAGTTCAGCATATTTCTATATATATATATACATATATA